GTCCCATATAAGGCCTATGAAGTCCCTAGGTAATTTGTAGCCATAGTCATTTGTACTATTATTTAGTTGGGTTATTGATCTTTTAAGTCCAGTAGCTGTATCTGGTTGTGATTGGCACAAGCATCTTCATAGGCAGAGAAGACAATGTAATGAAAGCTGGAATACCAGCAGACAGTGGTAAAATAATATGGGGAAATGTGAGGAGGGAGAAGAGGTGATTTTAGTTCTTTGTCTTCCAATAATCACCACACAGCTTGACGTCTGATTTCTTTTACCCTAATCTCAGCATGCATCTCAAAAATGCTACTGGCCATCAGATTATCGCAGCAGATCATTAAATTTTCTTATCGTCTGGACTTATGTATGCTGTGGAACTATCCAAGGATAATGAGCAGCCTGCTGTTGCACTCACCTGGTTGGGGTTGATGTGTTTCATGAAAGCTCCCCACATATTCTCTCTAATGAATGAGTCCTTTCTTTTTATAGAGGAGAGCTCTAAGGGAAAATGAGGGGGTTTTTGACATGACCTTTAGGGGTTTTTTGATCAGAAACATGATATTCTTCAGACAAATTCTTAGTTATCAACAGGAAACAGCAATATGTGATCCAAAAGCCATGTACAATGAAGTTTGTGGTAAAATGTGCTCTTCAAAATTCGTACACATAACGCTACTCTCCTTCCCTGGATGCTATATGATTGGGGTCAGACATAAAGCTTCCAGCTGCAATTACCCAAACAGCTGGATTGATTGAATTCATGGGCTAAACTGTTATTGTTTCTAGTGGCAAACTCAGTATGGGTTATAGCAATACTAATGCTGTTTACTGACTCTAGGAAAGCAAACAATTGTGTCTGATCACAGATAAACTTACGTCCTCAAACAAACCTTTAAATAAAAAAGCTTTTTTCTTCAAAAATCCGTATCCTTATTTCCCTTGTGGCAGCCAGCTTTTCCTACTCTTCCTTATGTTTTCATGTCCTTCTATTGCTCTCCTATTCATATTCTCTCACCTAATTCCCACAAAAGGTTCCTTCTGCTCGAATAACAAGGCTCCAGAGTGGCAGAACAAACCTGGGTAGGACACTGGGGCTGAAAACTTAAATGCTGAATTCCAGCAATTTGTCACTTGCAGAGTAAAGCCAGTAAGATACGAACAGCTACTGGTCTAATGCTGCTTTTGTTCTCCCCATCACGCAGATCATACACTGCTTGTGTCCTGAGCAGCATTAATGTGGGCACTCATCTGCCCTAACTAATTAGCTCTTTCTGTTCAGTCTCAGATGACTTCAGCATGATCTACATTTCCTCTGAAATTATAAAGGTGCTCATGCGATCATGTGCCAGACATGAGCCTATTCCTCCTCCCGCCATCTACACGAGACGAGGCAATGTGTGATCCCCTTTAACAAACAGGGAGTCAACATCAAGTGACTGGCAAAAAGCTATGAATTAAAAGCATCAAAGAAGAGGCAGGAATTGAAAGGGAAGATCTCAGGGTCTTCACTGTTAAAAGTCAGCTTTGCTTTCATCAAGGAGGAGAAAACGTGTGCCACGGTGAAGGGGAGAGTTAGAAAGGAGTTTTCACTGAGTTGGGAAGGAGTGATTACTACATGCGTAACAAAGCCTTCACTGGTTGCCAACTCTTGCAATGCCTTCAGTGGCAACCATGGCAGTCATTTTGAACAAAGTCCAGATCCACTAAAACTGAATCAACAACTGAGTTTTTCCCAAAACCCAGGGTACCCAGATCTGCAGCTGAGGATGAGCCACAATTTTTGCCTGGACAGCTTTAATAGTCATTAATAAATTTACTCTAATAAAAATCTTGCTGGCAAAAAGCCCTTAAACATGACATTATTTACATAATTTCCTGCAAAGAACATCTGTGTAGCCCTCCACTCCGGTCATAACTTCTCCATTGTAGTGTTCCTGCACCCAAACATTCACAAATCTTGAGGCACCTGCCTGGCATTTATGGTACGAAGGAGTTTATGGATGAGGTGGGCCTCCGGGAAACCAGCACCTCACAAGTGTGACTTGAAAACGGATGGTATAACTGGGGTCGAGATCCTGCAGTCAGATCCATATTGGTGACCACTGGGATGCATTGCAGGATTGGGCTCATATTTATTGATAGCTTTTAATTAGTCTACATAGCTCAATTCCACATCTGCTTTCCTATAAACAAGCCACTAATTAGTTCAGTGAGTCAGTTAAAAAGTGTACCGTTGTGCCAGATAGTTTAAAGAGACACTGAAAATATTTGAAACACAGTCCATTTAATTTTAATCATTTTTTTAAAAGGAAAGCATGAA